AACATTCTTTTTAGAAATGGAAGAGTAAAGTAGAAGAACTGGAGAGGGAGATTATTATACTTACAAAAAAATTAAAAAATTCAGAAACTGCAGGTAAAAATCTCATAGCATAAATATTAGATTGGGATCTAATAAATATGCATAAATTAATTGGTTATTTGTGTAGGTGCATTGGCTCATTCTTTTTTCAATAAGCCAACAATCATTATTATAAAAGACTCAAAATCAATAAATTAGAAATGCTGGATTAGTTATTAAAGACATTGCTTAATATAAATATTTGTAAATTTTATTATTTAATATATATACATACAATAAATAAATAAACATTTAATAAATAATTGAAATTGATAAATAAATAAAAAAATAATGATTTGAAAATTGCGACAGCGACAATTTTCCTCCTGAACAATCGCAGGAACTATTAATTAATTATTAACACCTTTTCGGGGCAACGATAAATACTCTGAACCATGATGAGAATCTACATTGTCGTGACCAGAACAAGAGCAATGGCAATTTTCATCACAACTACATCCTTGAATTGAAGGCAGTCATATATTATTATTATTTTTTTTATTTTTATTATTATTATTTTTATTTGATGGGGGAAAAAAAAAGAGAAGAGAGAATCGAGCGCCTTTAAATATTAAATTTCCTCGTCTCTTTACGTGCATATACTGAGCCAAACCTCATGTTTCTACATTTTATTTTATATATAGAACGAATCAAATAAAAAATTTTTTTTTGCCAAGGTTTAGAAGCAAATAGTTTTTATTTTTCTGATTAAAATAGTGCTTAGCAATATTTTTTAACGTCTTTTTGCATTTACACTTTTCGAGCAATCACTTACTTCTTGGCAAAATATCTCTTTCTTGAAAATTCTTTGTTATGCGAAACAGGAGTGCATACGTATGAGGTCCATACCAAACCTGTTCAAGCAAATACTATAATTATAATTGATTTATTTATTTAAAAAAATTAAAATTTACTAATAATTATGTCTTCAATTTTATAATTTTTCCGGTGTTGCACAATTCCCAATATTCTGAAGTGGCAGTAATTTTTTGCAAATAATGATAATAATGGGTAATCTATTAATAATAATAAATGAATGTTCAAAAGGAGGGCGATGAACAGGATCCCTACCTTTAATGCACACATCTTTTATTAAAATTGAGAAGTTTATTTGGAAAACAACACATTCATCACAAAAAACGCTTCTCGTAACGTAAAAAGTAAAACTAGTTTCTTTACGATATAAAATTTTTAAGCCTATATATATATCTAACTTCGACTTGTGCTTAAAAAATTGGCAAATATTTCCGAATATAAAATCAATTTAACAAGTCGTCAGTGGTGGTGACGTGGAATAATTATTTAAGAATATTTAATGCCAATTTGGAATGGATAATGAAAAAGAAGAAACAGTGTGAGTTATTAAAATTAAATAATATGTATGAATGATTTGAAGATAAACAAAGAAAAACGAAGAACTAGGAGGCGAAGATGAAGGATTTAAGGTATATATATATATACAATCACTAATAAATATAACATTGATATTTTTAAGATCTAAAATATATCAAGTTTATTATTATTTAAATTAACCTTAAATTTTTGTTGCGTCATATCTCAAAACTCTATTATAACGATGATATAAAAGGTAGTCTCGACAAGGTTTATAAAGGATTTAAACCTGTAAAATCTCAAGGCAATTAAGCAAAAATCGCAACTTCGATTTCAGTTTAAGTTTTAAAAAAATGCTAAGATGTTGGCACTTGCTCCAAATTCAATTTTCTTTCTTTAGAAAAGTGGTAGCTTTTAGTTCTATATATTATTTTACAATTAAATTTATTTAAAGATCTCAATAAAGTTGGCAAAATTAAAAAATGTTGGGCCAATAATAATAAATATTACAAATTTATTGACGATTTTTTACTTAATTACATATATAACAGATCTTATGTAATTTATTTAATATATATTGTTAATAATAAACAAATAAATGAAATACATAATAAATAAAATAAAAAATAGAAAAATAGAAAATTGGTGAACGCGAGAACGACGAGATTATTGAGTTAGTTATTCAGAGCAAGCGCATTCTGATGCGCTACAGGTACAGCTTGAACCACAATTGCAACCACTGTTTAACATTAATTAGGAGGTAAGGAAGAAATTATAAAAAACTCAATTAAAAATCAATTTGTTTCGTGGAAAAAAAATAAACAAAAAAATAAACCCCAGGACAACAATACTAAATATTGATCCTTTTCTGGGGCAATGATAAATACCCTTCTCCGCATCCTCCATTAGATTTCTGACTATCGCAACCACAACTTGAAGTACATTGGCAATTTTCACCACAGTTACATCCTTGAATTGAAGGCATTTTTTTTATTTCGATGTTTATTAAAAATTAAAAAGTTTTGAAAGTTTATTATTGTTATTATTGTTGTAATTTATTTTTTAATTTTTGTTTGATTGTTGAAAAAAAAAAAGAGAGAAGGGAGAATCTAGTGCCTTTAAATATTAACATTTTTTCCTCATAACTGCATAATATTGATCATATTGACTGATTATTTACAATCACAAAAATGATTTTAAGATTAAACAATTTCCATATTGGTGAAATGCGCGTACAATAATCATGCAAGAAACAAGAAAATTAATCAATGTTAATCTCTGGCGTCGTGTTTATTTATTTAAAGATCGATTCGTTGTTATTGTGTACTTGAGGGATTTATGCCGTTCAAAATAATGTGACAATAATAAATATTTCGAGCAATCAAATCATTAATTGTAAAATTATCAATCAGTTAATCAAATTATTTAATCAGTTAATTTCAATGAAATTAATCATGTCGTTGATTTTATTTTTTTTAAAGCATCATTTTTCCGGTTTCGAATTTCCTTCTTTGATGTTATACAATCCCCAACATCACTGAACAATCTTTATCCACAATATTTATGATTATTCGTAATATTTATAATTATGAATATTTAAATATTCCAAAATTCTAATACGCACATATCTCACATATCTTCAAATGAATTTCTTTTGGAGAAATAAATAAATTGTACAAGAAGCTTATCTGTAAAATTAATTCTTTTTTTCTGCATATCTTTATCCTGTTTTTTTTTCTAAATGTGTAACAACGAAAT